GGCTATAAACAATACTTTCCTTCTGTACCTTTGAGTTGACTATTTCAGTTATAGGCATTTGTTTATTCCCTGAAAATGGAGGATATAAAATTTGATAATTTTGTTGCTATGAATTAACTAGTCACTAACATGCAATTACCACCCAGTGGTATTTATGAGACTCTGTTGACTGTCTTGCCCCTTTACAGGAAGAAGAAGAAGCCCTAGCAAAGGCTGATAAAATCAAATTAGCACTGGAAAAACTGAAGGAAGCCAAGGTTAAGAAGGTAAGCCAACAACCACTTTTGCATAAGGGGGGCTAAATTAATGATATCATACTATACTTACTGATAAACAGTAAAATAAAAATTTCATCTGCCTTTGGGGAGCTCAGTAGTAGGTCACCTGCTTAACATACTCAAGACCCTGGCTTTAACAGTATCATTGAAAGAAAACTAAAGAGGCACTTTCCAAATAATTATCATCTTTAAAGAATTTTCTGGACAAAGTGAAATGACGTGATTTTTCTCTGTATAGCATCGTTTAGCTAATTTGTGATTTCTAGGTAGGGAACCTGCATCCATCCATTTCTTGTAAAGGCTTTCTACTGGACAGTATGATGACAAAGAGCTCTCTGTGGTGAGAGAATGCCTAACAGGGCAGACATTTCCTTAGCTCATACATGACTTTTTGTTGGTTTACACATGTATTTTCCCATGAACCAGGAGAGAGCAAGTACAAATTCCCTTTAACAAGTAAGGAAAAGGTTCTTGGTTTTGCTACCACCTAGGCGAGGGCCTTCTCAGTTCCATTTTGAGAATTTAAAATCTGTCCATCCTGGACTCCCTTCCCTGAGTGGTGCTCTCTGGGGCTTTCCATAGCTGCCTGCTTATAGCAGGTGGCACATCCTCTGGGCATGCTTCAACTGGGTCAGACCTCAGCATCCCTCGGCCTCCCAGTTCCACGATTTCTTTTGTGAATTTTACATCCCTTGAGCAACCTCTAGACCTGATGCCTGCCTGGCTGTCTCCCCAGGAATCAAATATTTGTTTTGTTGTTAGTCTAGTCTCTAATTTGTATACATTTGGCATGATCTGCTCCTAGCCCTACTTTTCCAGTTAGTCTATAATTTTTTTTGAAAATTTTTGTAGAGCATAGAGTTTGTTTGTTTAGGAACATAATGTACTATGTTATAATAGAAAAACCTGTATCTAACCTGATTAGGAGATGACACCCACTATTAAAATGCTAGTAATAGGGGGCTGGAGAGATGGCTCAGTGGTTAAGAGCACTGGCTGCTCATCCAGAGGACCCGGATTCAATTCCCAGAATCCACATGGCAGCTCACAGCTGACAGCAATTCAAGTTCCAGTAAATCTGACTCCCTCACAGAGACATGCAGGTCAAACACCAATGCATATAAAAATAAATTAAAAATAAGTTAGTAATAGCTAATTTGTTTTGTTATTCCTGAAGCGTCTATCATCTCTCACATAGTTAGGTGAATTGTCCTTGTCACGTAGGGTCTTAAAACTTTATATTTCCATGGCACCTGCTATAATTCTTGAATAAAGGAGTTATATACATGGTGATTAATTCAGTAAATATCCCTTGACCATCCCTGGATCCAGACTTTCAAGGCTCACATCTGAAGATATTTTCCAGATAGAACTTATCCTATTCCTTGCAAATGCCAATCAACTTCTTTTTTGTTACTCTTTCATTTCCTGCATGGATGTGTCAGCTTTTCCTTACTGTGGCAAACACCGAAGATGATCAGCTAGATAGCTGCTCTTCTTGCTGCTGTGGTGGATACCCAGCAATGGCAATCTTAGAAAGGAAGGGCTGGTTTGGGCTCTCAGTTTGAGTGTTCGAACCGCCATAGCAGGGAAGCAGGGAAGGAAGACAGTCAGGAATTGTACCATCAGGAGTGCAAGGTCACTGGTCACACTGTGTCTGGTGTCGGGAAGCAAAGAGAGATGAATGCTCAAAGTCGTGAGCCTGTCGGGGACATTTCACAACCATATGTCCCGTACCCACTCAGGTGATGAGGGATGAGCTGCAATGCTGCTGTCTGAGGTTGGCCTTTCCACTCGGACCACAGTTCACCTTCTCTGCTCTTGTCTCCATAGTCCAAGAGCCTTCAGTGGCTGCCCATCTTGTACAGTGAAGCCAAGCTAGTCTCTATGTGATCTGGCTGCCATTATCTCCCTAGCCTCAGTTCTCTCTCTCTCTCTCTCTCTCTCTCTCTCTCTCTCTCTCTCTCTCTCTCTCTCT